CCCAATGGGCCAAGCTCTGGGCTCAGGCTTTCCCTGGACCTAACCAGAACTATCACAAGTGCAAAAGCTCCAGCAGCCTCAAGCAATCTCTCACATGCACTAAACTGTAGCGCCACTTCTGCCCTCTCCCGGCCGCCCCACCTTGCTCCATCCTTGCTTTGCAAGCAAGGGGCCAGGGTAGGCTCCAGGCAGAGCCTCAGCATGCTGAGGAAGGGGTTGGCAGCATTCCCACCCCCCCCCCCCAATGCTGCTACTTGCTCCAAGAAGGGGCAATAGGCAAACAATTCCTGACCATGCTCTGAGATATCTGGTAGGGCACCAGGTGCCTTCATGTCATCCTGCCTCATCAGCACTGCTTAGACCTAAACACAGGGTGGTTTCCTCTCCCCCAGCATCTAGCATGGCCTTCAAGGAGTTAAGGCAGCCAGCAAGCTGAGCATGCATGCACAATATCTTTAAAGCAGTGATTGCATATGTGCCGTGAGATTGGGAACATGATAGCTGCCCAGAGATAAGCCATGAACATGATAGCTGAGAGCCATGGCAGAGATGGCATGAACCATTGCTTACTCTCTCTTCTGCTGGGGCAGCAGCTGGGACTTGTGTGCCTCAGTGCAAGGGATCCTTCCCTGCACTGGACAATGCAGTACTACCAGGTTCCAGGAAGCAGCCAAGTCCTGTTCCTGGTATCCCCATGCTTGGGAGGACAGATCCAGTTGCCAACCACATGCTCACATTTGCTTCTAGTCCAAAAAAGCCTTGCGGACAGAGAGCTTTCATGTATCTCATGATCCAGCCAGCACTTCCCCTGGAAATATAGACCCGGGGGTTGGGGGGTGGGAGGGTGAGGCTTAGGGAGACCCTCACAATCAGATGACGCCCCTGATACTTGATGTGAGCAGTCAGCACATGGCATCATGCAGGCACTCCAACAAACTATGCCCCAAGGCTGAGCCACTCAGTGAAACAGGAAGATAAAGCTTCGGGTCACAAATGTCCAGGTTTTTTTTTTTTTTTTTTTTGGGGGGGGGGGGGGGGGGGCCCAGCGCTCATTTTTTTTCCTTTTTAGGCTCCTGTTGTAGAGAGAGGCCTGTTTGGTACAAGCTTGGTTTCATGCCACTCCCAATTTTCAGTGCTGCATAGGATACTCAGATGGAGCAAAGGGTGCAGAGATGGTGTCAAGACAGACAGTCTGGCAGATAGTCCAGCAGAACACACTACTTCCAGGAAAGTCTACATCATGGAGCAGATGGTTGTTTCCAAACAAGTTATACTAAAATACAGCTGAGGCAAAAGCAGCTCCTATTCAAAAGCAATAGCTGGGGAGGCTCATACCTACTGCAGCAGCAAGGTCTGTAAATAAACCCAATATAAAGGCACATTGGAGTGTAAAGGTTTTTTTAGGCCCAAACAGCTCGCTGCTCCTTGCTAACTTGTTCCCAGCAGCCAAGTCACAGAACTGAGGTGCAGGCTCAGCCCTCAGCGGCGCTGGTTGCTGCTGCCCAGTGCCCAAGCACTTCACTGGGGACAGCTTGCCCCAGCCTCACCCTGCCGCGCTGCCAGCCGGAGCAGCAGGGGCTTATGGCAAAGGCTCCTGGCTACACCATCCACCATGCCCACATCTAACCTTAGCTCTTAAGGGTCCCAGGCTGCGCTCCCATGCTTCTGTTACAGACCATGAAACACCGGCATCTTTTGGAGCTTGCCACAACAAACTCCCCTCTGTGGTGCTCCTGGGCAGCTCCCAGTACAAACCCAAAGACAGACAGGCACTAGAAAGGTCCCATTTTCCTTTGCATGCTATTTCCATTGGCAGAAGATATCAGCCTAAAATATAAGGCTTCATTTCCTCAAGGCTTCCTGAGCAATTAAATTGGCATTTCAAATTAAAAACTACAAATTGTCTTAACTGGGGATAAACCTCTATTAAACAGTTTCAAGGAGTGGGTTTTTAAGAGCAAAGATTGTTGTCCTAGCCCTGACAGATTTAACATACTTCAGTCCTTTTAATCACAACAAACATTCTTATGGCATCTTTCAACCACTGAAAACCAAATGGATCAGCAAGTTTTATCAGATGAGAAACACACGATCTCATTTCTTCCCCATACACCACAGTGCTGCACTAACGGGACAATAGTTCTGGTATCCGCAGCATCCTCAAGACCAGGTCAATGCTAGGCTTGAAATAAGCACAAAGCTCAAAGCATGAAGTTCATATCCTTTCCTTCAACCGCCCAGAGATGTTTCCTCCCTGCCTACTGCCAAGCCTTGAGAGGAGGAAAGGGAAACTGGCACCTCTGCAAGCTGATACGTCACCGAAAGCCAACAACACGCCATGGGCCTACAGTAAGAGGCAGGGGTTGCTTTGTCACCCCAAGCAGGGCCAGAATCCAAGCTGCACACACAGCCCCATCTTCAGGTAGCAGTGGGCTCCCAGGGCACTAAAGCATGCTGGAGCAACAGGGCAACTGGTTTACCTAGGAAAAAGCACTGCCAACCCATCACAGCCATGCACTCGTAGCACACATCACATCTCTCCAGAGCACCAGCAACCTTGCTTCGATCTCCAACCACTAACCATAGACATCACTTTAAGAATTAGTTTTCATTTTGCCCTAGAAGGTGGGAAGAAGCCCAATAAAAACCAAACAAGGATATCAAGGGAGAAAAACTGCAGACAGCTAGGAATTGAGACTGTGTTTATTTATTTATTTTTAATGGTAAGTCAGCCAGCTGTCCTTGCTGCTAAGTTCCGGTCCTCCAAGGTGGCAAGGAAACAGAATGGAAGTTGGGCAGATGCACACACTTGATTCCAGATATCCAGCCTCGCTCGTGAGATTAGCTTATGCAGCACAGTCAGCATCAACATCCCGCTTCACCCCATCCTGGCTAGACCCTGGAAAAAAAACACACTGACCTCTCAATGCAACTCACTTCAGCTAATGAAGAACAGGAGAAGTGATCTTTGCCCCTGGGATCAGAACAGATCATTTGACAACTCAGAAGATGGGATATTGCCCACATCTACCAGCCCAGGAAAAACAGTTTTCTGGGCCACTAACCTGGTAGTCTGGCTACCTTCAGAAAGCATAAGTAAAGAATAAATCACGTTTCCATAGTGTTCTCAATTTTAAGTGCTAGAGACCTCTAAAACTGCAAAAGCCTTACAAAACCCCCAAAACCTTACAGTGCAACCCAGCCAGCCAGCATCTCTACCCACAAAGATGAAGACTAATGCTGAATTTGAGCCACATTATTCATGGTCAAGCTTTGACAGGATCTAATCTCATGTCATGAGAATTATGGTAGGTGGGCAGAAGTCTCTAATAGCACATATGCACAGACAATATACAATGCTCACTCAGACATCATTCAGAGTTTTATTTCTTTTTTTTCTTTTTTTTTTTTTTTTTTGCACCTTCTGGATTACCAATACCCTGGTTGAAACTTCTTTGGGATTCCTTCCCCACTCCCAGGAGGGCAGCACAAGATCTCCCAACTTGTTCAAGCAAACAAACAACAACAAAAATTCCCAGTGAGATCACTCAGCATGGGGCCAAATACTTATTTTGAGGGGGCGGCAAAGAATTCAGCGGCAACAGTTCTGGCTTCAAGAAACCAGACTGGAAAGGAGGCCTATAAAGGGGAAAATGGGCTAAAAAATATTTAGCAATCCTTCTTCTACCCAAAGAGCAGGGAGATAAGGGAAAAAAAATAGTCATCTGATTACACACAGGGTATATATTTTTACACACACTTTTACACACATCTAGATATCGTACATGTAAAAATATATGCTATACATACGCCCATTCTCACCAAGGTGCTTTAATACACCATTTGCGCTGTGTATGGGCATGTATATGTGTGTATGAATTAAATGTACAGGTACTAAGTGTATATGTGCATATGTACACATACATACAGGCAGGCAGCCTACCATCAGCCACCCTTACCTTCCTCTTTGTACAAAACCCAGTCCTCCCACCCTGTAATACCATTACACTCCCCATCCCTCCCCTTCCCCCAGCCCACTTTGAAATAGGTCCCCCAGTGTAGCAGCTTCTTTCTCAACAAGCAATTCAAGGAAAATAATTAAGGGAAGGGGAGAAAAATAAAAGTGTGCACAGATCATGCCCATACTTTCTCTGTGGTCCTTCCAGCTCCCCTCCTGTGCTGGGAGTAGGGTACTTTTTTCTTCTTGGGATCAGCTGACCAAACACTGCCCCTTCTCCCTTTTGCCAGCTTATTGCACGTTTGTTTCTGGGCTGCATTTCAACACCTCTGCATTACATTCTACAGATCCTGTCCTCTTCTCACTTCAATAAAACAGTGGAACACAAACCCACTAACCTGTCCCTGCCCACCCATCCTCCCCCCACCCTGTCAAAAGGAGGAAAAAAAAAAATCAAGAAAGGCTGCTTGCTAGCAGAGTGCAACAGTAGTACACACTGAATAGGTGTTCTCTTCGGGAGCTCTGTGGAAGAGAGGTTATTTCTAACACAGTAAACGAAGCCATGCAAAAGGGGGGAGAAAGGGAGCAGAAGGAAGAAAAATTAAAGGATGAGAAGGAAGAACAGAAGTGAGGAGGAAGAAGAACACAGCATGGCAAGTGCTCAGGGCTTCATGTTTTGTTGTCTTCTTCTTGTAAACAAGCTAATAATTCTCATTAGATAGAACAAGTAAAAAGACTGAAGTTCCAAGTTGAGGGGCTGGAGTTTCCAGGAGTCTGTTCAGTCCATTCAGCAACATCACAGCCAGTGAGAGAAAACAAGAGGGGAATTTTCTTTTTAGTTTTTTTTTGTTTGTTTGTTTTTAAAATCTTCATTACTTAAAGCTGAGAGAAAAAAGCCAACTCAGGAGCCCTTTTCAAGGATGGCTCATTGTCTCTAGACTGAATAAATCACACTAGTTTAGAGAGAACCTTTTTTCCTTTTTAATGACTTATAAAAAGCACGCGGTTCCTTCCTCTGCCCCTCTGCTCAAAGGCGGGTCTGTGCCTCGGGGACATAGATCTCAATGCTGTCTGCACTCTCCGTGGCCGAGTTCTGCCGGACAGAGGCAGCCCGCTTGGCTGCCATGAGACGCTTGCGAGCTTCCTGGCGTTGCTTGTCTGAATCAGAGGCTTTGTCCCGGTTCAGTTGGGTTTTGGACTTGGCTGGCTTCTTTGGCACTGGAGGGGGTGGTTTCTTCTCTTCCTTTAGGGAGACAGTAAGGAAAAACCCAAACATAAAATAAAAATGCACATACAGAAGGTTGCTCTCTGTTATAGTGGGGGCTCTCATAGCCTGAGACACTTAAGCAACAGGGCTATGACTGACAGGTGAGAGAAGCAGCAGCAGTTCTTGAGCAAGGCACTCATCATATAATCAGTTTCCTAATTTTTAGGAGTGGATCATCATACATTTAGTGGCACAGAGGCCTCCTGTTAAGTGGACTGCGCTCTGCAGCCGGCTTCTGCGGTCCAGCTGTGGATCAGAACTTAGTGCACACAGCATGAAGACTGGACTTCATGCTGGAACTACAAAGTTAACATATGTAGTCCTGCCCAGACTCATAGTCCTCTTTCCTCCTGAAAGTGTGGTGAGGAAGTGTGGCCCAGGAATGCAGCCCACTGCATTTTCAAAAAATTCCAGTAGGTGCTTTTTACACTACTCAGGACAGAACAGTTGCAACTTATTTATGCAGTGCTTAGCACTAGAGGCCTCTATCACTGCTCCAAGTGTATACTACTCATCTACCGTCTTTTCCCCATCATAACACTTTTTCATCTTGTACAAAATTGTTTCCATTATTATTCAAAAGAAATGTTCTCAATACAATGCAAATTGTGCCTGAATGCACAGAGAGGATGGCTGATGGCCAATGCAATCACTTACCTGACCAAGTGTTAAAAGCATGATGAGGGACACATACATTACAGAAGGAATCACATGGCATAAGTGGGAGATGGCAGAGATTTTATTGATATTCTGTTTACAGAGAGAACTAGTAGAAAAACCTCTGATACCTAGAACATCTGAGAGGTGCTCTGACCACTCTAAACTGCCCCACACTCACCTTTCTCTCCGGTGTCTCTGTTAACTGCCAGCTGTTAGCTTTCAGGTGGTACAGCTCATCGAATTTCATGCTGATGTCTTCAATGGACAACTGCAGGAGATCCCAAAACCCAGCTAGGTCTTGGGGTGTGGGTCTGGGATTGGCATTAGGGTTCTACATGGGAAAGCATGAAAAAGGTTTATTAGAGAATATATCCCTCCTGCCAAGTAGAACAGTCTGGGCAGCTTACAAATTCACCTTTTGTAGTTCTACCCTCCCGACAACTAAAGCTTCAAGAATCCATAGAAGACACCAGCCTTAAACGCACGTAGACACAAGGTCATTATTTACAGCCAAACATTTTTTTTTTTTTTAAAAAAAAAGATCTGGATGGTATTTTTTCAACAGGAGTCCAAAAAAGAATCCTAAAAAGGCACCCTGATAGCAGGAAGCAATAGCTCCATTCTCCCAAAGGCTTCCCTGGCTAGTACTAATTCCACAGCAGCATCCAAGTGAAGGCCCCCAGAACATGCTCTAGAGCTAGAGCGCTTAGTTTCTTGTTTAGACATCCTGATTTCAGGCATTAATGGAAACAGGAGCTGGAAAGCACAATGTGTATCGCAACTGCAACATCTCCACACCTGGAGAACTTGCATGCAACATTGTACAGCAGGCCAAACAAGCCAATATAGCCTGTCACAAGCAAAGCAATTTTGCTACATTCCCCAGCAAAGCAATCTGGAAGTGCATCAGTAATTTTCAAGTTAGGTTGAAAAATTAAGTACTAAAGTAAACTTCTGCCAAATGAGAACAGAATTTCCCCAATTCTGAGGCATCTGAGCCGCCACCACAGGCCTGGATCATCTCAGAGAAACAAGGGATCAGAGGTGAGCAACTCTGAACACACACTGTCAAAGGAAGACTTCAACATAGAGCTTTGTTGAAAGCCTGGCTGCTACTTCCATTGCTGCTAATCTCTCAACTATGATCATCCAGAGATCAGCAAGGGTTCAACACTTCACCTTCTCCTCCTCTTCCTGAGTTTCTCTTAAGTTTCTTTCAAGTAAAGGGGAATTCACCTCTGAGGAAGTTCGCAAAAAAATCTGTAACATGATAAAACTTGAATCCACCTTCTATTCTCTCCCTAAACCCCCAGATTCCCACCTATGCCCAAGTTAGCTTTTAGTTCTCAGCAATGGCAAACCCTTGCATTACATTTGAAGAAATCCGATTCAAACAGTACTTTACAACCATGTAGGGACAGCTCTGTGGAAGCGATTAAGCCATCTACATAATCCATATTGCAAAGCAAGCATATTTAGAGAGAAACTGTAGGCTTTTCAAACACCTCCCTACTTGGGAAAAATCTAAAGGGCTTTTTGAGCTGAATCACAGAAGTAAGCATAAAGAGGTAGTTTCCAGGACACACAGTAGTATAGCTAGGTAAGGATGCATGGCTAGCTGAGGACTCAGACCCAAAGAGTCTCCAAAAGTGTATTTGGCATGCCCTGATCCGCATTTCAAGGAAAATTCCCCTGTGCTCACATGAGCACCAAAAGGAATTGTAAACATTCATCCCTGAACAAATGATAGCCTAAAATTGCACATTCAGCATAAAGGTTGAAGATGTCAGCCTTCCACTGCCCAGCTGCTGTTTAAGAACAGCTTTCATCCATCATAGCATGATTGTCAGGTTGCAGGACACAGCTGCTCTTGCTTTGCCATAC